ATACGAATAGCACGCTCCTCATCCAAGCTTAGATTGGAATGCTGAAGAAATTCGGTCCTTGATGAACCCTGGACACTTTCCGGACCTGAGATTTTAGGAAACTGCATATGGATGAATTATATGGATGAAAATAATATGGTTTCGTGAGCTGGCCATCATGCAACATGACTTGCACCATGTGCCGTACCCTAACATATGTGCGTGTACGACAGGCAACCCAGCTCCTGTTCAGGGGCTCGGCTGTCACCCTGGCACCTGTACAAACCCGTGGCTTGCAGCCTGACATGTCCACTTACCTGCTGCAGCCCGCTGCCTGACGCCAGCGCCATCCCTGGCTGCAGCAGCTGCATTGCCCCCAGCCGCCCATCCTGTTCCCCTGCTTCGGCGCCTTCGGCAGCCATGGCAGTGTCCACCTCAGCGGTGGTGGCACCCATCTCCGTGTTGGGCTGGATGGGCAGGGCAGAACGGAGGAAAGAGGGACATGGCAAGGGTGGGGGCGGGCCGCGAGTAACTGAAAGCAAGGCTCAGGGGTGGCTTTGTGCCCAGCATGAACAAAGGCAGGCGACTGGGTTTTCATGAGCTGGCCATCACACAACATGACTTGCACCATGTGCCGTACCCTAACATATGTGTGTGTACGACAGGCAACCCAGCTCCTGTTCAGGGGCTCGGCTGTCACCCTGGCACCTGTACAACCCCGTGGCTTGCAGCCTGACATGTCCACTTACCTGCTGCAGCCCGCTGCCTGACGCCAGCGCCATCCCTGGCTGCAGCAGCTGCATTGCCCCTGGCTGCCCATCCTGTTCCCCTGCTTCGGCGCCTTCGGCAGCCATGGCGGTTTCCACCTCAGCTGTGGCGGCACCCATCTCCGTGTTGGGCTGGATGGGCAGGGCTAGTAATAGGAATCAAAGGGGATAACTGAGTTGTGTTCAGCCCACAAAGATTAGCTGGGAGCAAGGCGCTAACTTCAGACAACGCAAGATCGCCCGATAACTGTGCAAGCAAGCACAAGTCAGAACGTCGTTTGTTGGGGAATAGGGACGTCAAAAATAACAATATACAATACATTTGGACCCAGTTTAATAAGGAAGGAAATCAGAGAACACAGTGTTACTGGCACATCGGGCGTCAGTAACAGTGAAGAGATGGCCGAGCGGGATGAAGTGCACGGCGGAGTTGGAGGAGGTCCGGAGGAGAACGAAGTAATGGCTATGATGAAGGCGATAAGAATGGCACGCGACGGAAACACCCAGAAGGGGATGATGCGGTGATCAACGGACTCCGCGCCTTATCCCACGTTGTCTGAAAGCAGGCGCAGCCAGCTGCAACTAGGCCTACCCAGTTGTGTGTAAGAGGGAAATGGGTGTCCCTAAACCGGCCGCAAAGGGTTGGCAACTACACATGTTTTGCTGGGGAATGGGGTGATCTGGCTACGAGGGGACGGCGCCGCGGTGGAGAGGTCATTGCTTTGAGGTTTAGCTCAGCATGGTTTATTACCACCGCGGGTTACTGCCAGGTGACCAGCTGGAGCCCACTGAAGCGCCCGGACCGCCTTGCGCTCATCGGGTAGCAACTAGACTGCCCAATAACGAGTGCTCACGGCCGGTAGGCTTTACCCGGGTGATGCTCTCAGGGAGAGAAGCGTCCGGGTTGCATTGTGCTGCTCCGAAAGGCCAGCCCCAGGGGGTGCGTGGTAAAGCACCCAGGCTGAGTGGCCTTGGGCCGGTAGGCTTAGATGCGTTTAGCTGGAAGGCCAGCACCAGGGCTGGGTTGCCTTAGGCCAGTAGCATAGGAAGAGTTTATCCAGAAGGCCAGCCCCAGGGGGTATGCTCTCGTGTGGTGAAGCACCCAGGCTGAGTTGCCTTAGGCCAGTAGACAGGGTCGTGTTTATCCGGAAGGCCAGCCCCAGCAAGGTTTTGCTCTCCCGCGGCGAAGCACCCAGGCTGAGTTGCCTTAGGCCGGTAGACTGGGTCGCGTTTATCCGGAAGGCCAGCCCCGGGGTTATGCTCTCGCGTGGTGAAGCACCCAGGCTGAGTTGCCTTAGGCCGGTAGACTGGGTCGCGTTTATCCGGAAGGCCAGCCCCGGGGTTATGCTCTCGCGTGGTGAAGCACCCAGGCTGAGTTGCCTTAGGCCGGTAGACTGGGTCGCGTTTATCCGGAAGGCCAGCCCCAGGGGGTATGCTCTCCCGTGGTGAAGCACCCAGGCTGAGTTGCCTTAGGCCGGTAGACTGGGTCGTGTTTATCCGCAAGGCCAGCACCCGGGGGTATTGCTCTCGTGCAGTGAAGCACCCAGGCAGAGCTGCTTTGGGCCAGTAGACTGGGTTACGTTTATGCGCAAGGCCAGCCCCGCAGGGTATGCTCTCGTGCAGTGAAGCACCCAGGCTGAGTTGCTTTGGGTTGGTAGGTTGTGTTGCGTTTATCCGCAAGGCCAGCACCCGCAGGTTTTTTGCTCTCGCGCAGTGAAGCACCCAGGCGGAGCTG